GGGTCAGCATTACAGGAGGGCTCATTTTCCTTCCCTGCATTCCTGTTCCACATTCAGGACATTCCCAACACCTGTTCCCATCTACACAAACCCTTATAAGGTCTCTGAGGGGCTCCATCAGGGGTCTCTGGTGGTCACCTGTGCCTGCAGCCCCCAAAGTTCTCAGTGACCACCTTATCAACTTCAAGACAACTCACCTGGTTGTAGAGGAGCCTGATGCTGCTTGGCTGCTGCCTCAGTTCCCCTCTTCATTCTTTCTTGACTTTGCTTGCTCAGTCCCTTTAAGTTCCTTGGCTCAGCTCCATGCACTTTCTAGGGAACATCCCACTGCAAAAACTCCCAGTTCTTGGTACATCTCCTAACTCAGATATCAGGGAGTGAGGCAGAAATCAACTCATCCAGGGCACTGCCTCCAAATATTGGGACAAAAACACCATAACATTCCACAGCCTCCCTTGGCAAATCAACCCCAAACTGCTCAGACACAAACAACACCCTGCACACTACAACAATCTGGCACTGCTGGTTCAACCCGGCCAAGTCAGTTGGGAAACGACACAAGGTCAACTTCCTTCCAAGTTTCAGTTATGACACAAAAATCAGGGAGATCACAGACTCCCCCACAGAGTTTTACTCTGAGGAGAGAAGGAAACCAAAGCCATCCCCAGGGCTGCAATAGCTCAGGCTCCCCAAAAGGCCCAGGGGCTTCAGGTTTCTGAGGGGCTTCACCGAGGGCCTTCCCAGGTCTGCTCTGTCTGGAGCCCTCCAAGTCCTCAGTGCCTGCCTGAGGAACCTCAACACAACTCACCTGCTTACACAGCAACTTGGTGCTGCTTGCCTGCTGCCTCACTTCCCTTCTTCCTTCTTTCTTCACCTCCCTTGCTTGGTCCCTTTCAATCCCTGGGCTCAGCTCTGTGCACTTTCCAGGCTCCATCCCACTGCAAAAAGGATTAGCCCTTGTTACATCTCAACACTCAGAGAGCATTCCACCTTTTGCCTTGACACTGGGCCATCAGGCCAGGGTCTCATTATTTAAAGCATAGTTTGACTCCTCAGTGACAACAACTGACAGCGCTGCTGGGGCCGGGGAAGGGCGGGTGGGAGAATAAAAATCAGGAGAGGAGACTAAAAATCTAAAAATCAGGAGACGAGCCTAAAAGAATTACAATCAGAAGAGGAGCCTAAAAAAATTAAAAACAGGAAAAGAGCCTGAAAAAATTAAAATCAGAAGAGGAGCCTGAAAAAATTAAAATCAGGACAGGGGACTAATACAATAAAAATCAGGAGAGGAGCCTGAAAAAATTAAAAACAGGAGGGGAGCCTGAAAAAATTAAAATCAGGAGGGGAGCCTGAAAAAATTAAAATCAGGAGGGGAGCCTGTAAAAATTAAAATCAGGAGAGACCCAGAACTCACCCAAGTCTCCCCAAAAAACTACCAGAAACTGATTCAAATCTCCCCAAAAATGACCCAGAACTCACCCAAATCTCCCCAAAAAATGACCAGAAACTGATTCAAATCTCCCCAAAAAAGACACAAAAACTGATCCAATTCACCCCAAAAATTGATCCAGAACTGACCCAAAACTGGCCCAAATCACCTCAAAAACTAACTCCAAATTGGCCCAAAACCTGACCTAAAAATGCAAAAAACCCCCCCCAAAACTGACCCAAAATGATACAAAATCAGCCCCAGATATGACCAGAAACTGACCCCAAAACCCCAAAACACTGACACCAAGACTCACCCAAATCTCCCCAAAAAATGACCCAAGTCAGCCCAATCACCCCCAAAAATGATCAGAAACTGACACAAATCTCCCCAACAAATGACCCAAACTTTATTTCTTTTCTTAGCAACAAATCCCTTCCTTTGCTCCCCTCTGGCCCTGCCCACACGGCCCCAGTTCAGCTCTCAGTGAGTTCTTGCTTCTGGGCAGCGACTCCTCTGCCTCTTGCTGGGGCGGCAGCAGCTCCTGTGCCGGCAGGGAGAGGGACCCCGAGCCAGGAGAGGGACCCCGAGCCAGGAGAGGGACCCCAGAGCCCCTACAGAGACCCCAGAGCCATTATAGGGACCCCAGAGCCACGATAGAAACCCCAGAGTCCCTACAGAGACCCCAGAGCCCTTATAGGGACCCCAGAGGCCTCCAGAGCCCCTATAGAGACCCCAGAGCCCCTACAGAGACCCCAGAGCCATTACAGGGACCCCAGAGCCCTCCAGAGCCCCTTGCTGGGTCACAGCCCCTCTTCTCCCGCCCAAACCCACCTTTCTGGCTGCAGCTGCTTTTCTTCTCTGGCTCCCCCTTCCTTCCCCAGGGAGCTTTGCCTTGTTCTTTGGCCAGGCTCCAGCTGCAGCTCAAGGGCAAAGCTGCAACTACAATTCCCCCTTCGGGTTTTTCACCTGAAAAACAAAGGCTTGGGCCAAACTCTGACCAGTCACTCGCTGAACACGAGACATCAAACAGGGCACACAGAATAAAATGCATCCAACTCTAAATCATGTTACAATGACTGTCCACCCCAATCCAGCACTGACATTAAAAACCTTCAACCAACCAAAAAGACCTCCAAACATCCCTTAGATAGAGAAAAGCACACCAGGAACGAATGCAAAAAGAAAAATTCCAAACAATGCTCAATTAAATAACCATGGACTGATATAAAACATGTTTAGTTAACTTAAACCACTTCTTCCCATTATTCTCCATCAGAAATTACCCTTATTTAAGTTCTCCTTTTAACACTTCATTAAAACTGACTTATTAGGAAATGGTTTGAACCAAGAGAATTAAAATCAGGACAAGAGCCTTCAAAATATTAAAATCAGGACAAGAGCCTTAAAAAAATTAAATTTAGGAGAAGAGCCTTAAAAAAATTAAAATCAGGACAAGAGCCTTCAAAAAATTAAAATGAGGACAAGAGCCCAAGAGAATTAAAATCAGGAGAAATTCACGTTATTCCCCCCCCGCACACCCCGGGACAGACGGGAGGCCGCGAGTCCCGCCCTGCCGCCGGAACCGGCCCTTAACTCGAGCAGGGCGCGCTGCACCGGCACGAGAGCCACTGCGCATGCGTCGCCGGTCCCTCTCCTGCCTGCCCTTACTTACCACGTGATCGCCGGCGTCTTGCCAACGACTGCGCATGCGCCCCCCCCCACCCCGCCGCCCGACCGCCCGGCTTCGCTTTCTTACTGCGGCTCCCCCTCCACTTTTCCGGCTCCCTGGGGTTCCCTCACCCACATTTCGGGGTCCCCTTCTCACATTTTAGGGGTGATGACCCCGCAATTTACGGTTCAGGGGGGGGGGGAGGAGAGGAAACGGGGT